TCGAAAAAGTGTTCGCGGTCACCGCTCGTGTGATGGTGGAAGCCGTACTTCATAAAGGAATCCCGCTGCCCATTTTCGATAACGTGACCATATCAGGCAGGTTTCCTTAAGACTTCTAGCCGGAAAAGAAGTTCATTAACGAGGAACTAATGGTAGAAATACGAAATAAGCTACCTCATGAATTAAGACACAGCCCACGCTGATCATAAGAGCGGCGACAGAGAACGCCATTATAATAGCGGCGACAGAGAGCTGTTACGCCCTCACCGCTGCAAGCCAATGCAACAGTACAGCCTGATCGTGTGGGCGGAGCCAGAATCTGTGCTTAATTGGTGCACCGTTTCCCCCTACCCCCTCCCTTCACCGTCTTCGTCTAGAAAGAGTCACAAGTCAACGAGGAAAAGGACGGCAACCGATTCTCTCTACCCACATGCTCAGTGAGGACTGTCGTCTATCTTACTCTTTCTTGAATTTTGCATACCTTAAGGGGCGCGAATAACCTTGAGAGCATTCAGAGGACTCCCTCTGTAAATCTTTGATTACTAGGATCGGACCACCTTCACCATCGTCCGAGCTAAATGGACTGATTGGCCTTGACTAAATAGAATGACTGCCTCCGCCCATATGCTCATTGAGAACTCTAGATCATCCTATTCCTTCGCAGGAACCTTGGGTGGGGACATTCAAAAGCCGCCCTCAGAAAAATCGGGATTGTTAGTAGAACTACCGTCACCATCATCTGTATAGAAAGAAACTTCGATTTGGTTCACTAATCCCGGAGCTGCTTCCCCTTTGGGCTCGAGGCAAAACTTCTCATCTGCTTTACAGTAATACTAATTTTGCACAAGGAATTCTTTAAATACAGCCCTGAGTTATCAGTGGCTATCGATGTGAAAACCCTCTTCACAGCTTCCACTGTCATTAATCGATAACAGTCCATTACAGGTGACTCCGAAATACGAATATTTGAGAAGCACGTCCGTTTGAACGCTGATTTCGAATTTGAGTAACTTTGATAATCAAACTGGTTTACGTGGATGTTTTTATAAGTATTTTTACAGAATAAAAACTAATTTAAGGACACTTCATTTCATCATCACTCAGCAATTCTTTACTTTGATTACAGTTATTTACATCCAGAGAAATAACAAACATACAAAGGATATAAATTGTGAAAGGGAAAGGAGATGAGTGAGAGCGAACCAAGGCCGCGTTCATAGCTTATGGGTTTAGGCGTGCGGCAGCGTACGACAGCGATTTTCAGCGATTATAAATGTATAGGTATTGATCCAGCATCTGACCGTACGCTAGCATTTTCAGCTAATAGCAACGAAACATTCGAAACGCTGTCATACGCTCGAAATGCCGACGCAGAGATGAGGGCACACTAACTTCAGTATAATAATTACTCAGATGACTGAACACATTCCACGATTACTGGATGGGAGGAGACTCATAACAGTTGTACCGTCTTCATTAGCGCGTGAGCGGCGCATTAATGTGAAAGGCCCGGTGTCCTATCTGATTGTCGAGGAACGCGTCATTGATTCGTCTAGCCTTTCTCAATGGAACTCCGCTTTTCAAAACTACAAAAGTTAATTGAAGAGCAATCCATAGTCACTCATTAAATAAGAAAGGCCACACTTACAATCACTACCAAATTTACAAGTGGATGTCAAGTGCATGGCTTACACAGAAACTACTAAAATTGTGCAACTTTAATGAGCATGTAATCTGTTGCCCATTATGCCAATGTACATGGAATGATGTCATTTTTGAGCACGAATCAGCTGATTTGAGCAAGGGAAAAGTGAACCACATCTTACAACAACACCACGGTTTGTGGTTTAAAGAATCAAAAAAATACAAATATTTACAAGGCTGTTGTGATTGGTCACTCGATACCGTATACTCGCAGAGTTTTGTTAAGTAAATCGGTATGCACTTTCGACAACGACATAGCCGAATTGATGGAATACCAGCTGTAGCCGATAGTCGAATGAAGCACCGGACGATTTCTGAAACGAACGTCTCTCATATATCGTGCACCGATCGATAAATAGAACAGTGAACACAGCGATCAATAAAGGGTACGAACTATCAAAGCCTCGATATTATTATGCCCACAGACGACTCGTCCACGACAGTTCGCCTTGCCGCACGACTCGCAGCGCGCGAAGTCGCCGTGACGCTCTCGCCGCGCGCGGCCAGTCGCGTGACAATACTGCTTTCGCTACTGTCATTCCTACACGAGCTGCCGTTTGAGTAACTTCTTCTTGCGTAGCAATGGGATGGATCCCTTCAATAATTCGAGTGAGCCATGAGGCAATACAACTCGTCCGCAAAGTGTGCGGCGTCGCAGGCCACGCCCACTACTGCGACGGCCCATGATAGAAAAGCCACATACCCCTCCACAGTGAGTATACTTTGTGGGCGATAGAAAGCTTACAAACATGTGAGCAGCGCTATTCTTTGTACCGACCAACTAGTCCAAGGTTAATGGAACATATATTAGCACACCACTTCGGACGAGTTGTCGTCGATTCTGTCTTTCTGTGGAAAAAGGTCGTCATACAACAAACGCCTGAAGTCCATAATTCTGTCTGACTTTCGGGATGACTAGGATGGGCGGAGACTAACAACCATCGCGCCACCCCGTCGAAGCTCTTCATTCGAATACGGTTGAAGCCACATCGACGACGACGACGACAACGGCTGTGAGTCTCCGCCCAATTCGATTATCGCGGAGTGCTCTAGACAATTCGTTCCAAAAACGGGCGGGATCGCACTCATTCTGTAAGCTGGTCTCAGAAGACACATCGGCAAAGAGCAAGAAACAGTGCATTTCTAAGGATCAGTTAGTCAGAGACCTGGCGGCGATTGTTCACAAAAAATTCAAAAAATTTCAAAATGATGGTGTCACTCACCTCAACGAAATGGCCCAAAGATCATGTTCAGTCCACGCATGATCCGTGTCGATGTCGTGCTCGATGGCAAGCCTGGCGATGTGGGCGGGGCTTGTATCAGTTGGCGGGACAGTTTCGGACGAGTCGATGATAGACGAATCGAGACGTCGCATGGAAAATACCTGAACAGCTTTGAGAAGCAAAGCGGGACAGCAGTAATACAGCGTTGTTCTTCTCAGAGGCAGATTCCACACTGGTCGCATGAGGGCGAGTCGAGATTACCACTCAGCCTTCTTTACTGGTGCACCTTGCCTTTCTGACTTGGTAGAGGGGCAGTGGGCCAAAGAGGGCAAACGGATCTCAAGTATGATGTACTTTTTAAAAATTGTAATTTAGATTCAGAGCTTCCCAGATACCGGGGAAAATGTGAATAAAACTCACAAGGGTCAACGATAGAGAAGTGAACTGAAATTCATTGTGGGCGGGGCACCCAACACTGTGGGTGGAGCCAAAATCAAAAGCTCTTAAAAAAGTTCCAGAGCATTCCGGGCAACGGGAAAAATGGATTAACGTCGGCAAGGGGCCAGCGAATGGGAAGAGCTAGACATACCTACGGTGGGCGGAGCGTGCGCTAAGGTGGGCGGGGCCAAACCTGAAAACCCCTCAAGACGGTCCCACAGTCTCCACGGATTCCGGCGTGCGTTTCAAAAATCATACGCTAAACGAGCACCTTCAGTTAGGATAGTTCCATGTTACCAGCAAGTTACTGGCAGATCATTGCTAAGTCACTTTACCGCCTGGAAAACCTTAAAGTACCAAGGTATTTCCATACCTGTGCATCCGATTCAGGTAACCCTATTGTCCTCAGCAGAGAGGCCAGGTGCTCGTCCTTTGAGCTACTTTCCGGATGTGGCTCATTCGGGAGGTTGTGGTGTGCGTCGAGCAATACCTAAAACATTCAAATTACTTGAAAGCTACCGTGCTCGTAGAGTACCCGAGCGATATTAATCGAAAACGCACTTTACACTCGGTTTTTGTTGTTCCTTTCAGAATGATGTAGTAGCAACGTTTATTAGCTCCAAAACGTGGATGGCAGCCTCGACCAGCAATACCTTGAAAATCGATCATATCGATCGATCGATTGTTTGGCAGCAATACCCTATAGAAATAGAGATCAAACCTCGTCGACCGTGTGGATTGAGTGGATAACCAGCCGCCGACAACGTCCATCCCTTGCCAGGATCCATAGCCTGTCGTGAACGCCACAGACGTCGCAATTCGGTCACGTTCTGAAAAAGCACATGTCAGAATTCGGCGTGACGCCAATCAATACCGCCGATCGATACTCGGAGCTATCGATCAATGCAGAATGAGCCATACTGACCTGCTCAGTGGCAACTTCAACATGCTTCGCAGTGTCTGCTGGGAATTCTTCTGCTGGGCGACAATAGAACGGTGGCGAGTAGCGTGGGAGCAAAATCTGGATCGATATTCGGTTGAGGCGGGTCGATTATTGATTAAGCAAGAGGTCTTTGATAAATTACCTGCCAGGGTCTTTCCTGTGATGGAACAGATAATCGTCTGATATCCGTATCCGCGTACGGTATTAATTCCATCTGAAAGCGCAGAGTATAATAGAGAAGATGTTGGGAGCTCCCGCAGCAGGTCTAGGTGCCCGAACCCTACCCAGAATCTCGGAAACACGAATAGCAAACGCTACATGTCATTAGGACACCATGTCGGGATTTGGTTCGGGTGCAGTAATAGGGACTCTGTTGAAGGCATACCTCGGATTTACTTTTCTTCTCGCCTCCTAGGTAAGCGTTGTTCAGTGCCAACATTCGCAATTGATTCTGAAATATTTGAGGACTTGAAGACACATTCAGCGATAACTGGTGCATGCCAATCAGACAGGGACGTTGCTCGTGAGTCTCCACTCATTTCTGGTCAGACCAAGCAAACGAGAAATATAGAAATGCTAACAATCAAGGGTACATAGATGTAGTTCATCCAGAAGGTGGGTGTAAGCTTGGCGCGGATGGGAAGGATTCAACAAATCAGGAAGCTACAGGGCACAGCGTTCGATGGGGATTCCCTATGGGGGGGTCGTATTTGGCCGCCAAAAGGGGGGGGTCGTATTTGGGCTGGGAAAAATTTATTTTTATAGTTGATTTTTCTCGCTTTGCGGACGTTTTGGAGGGGGGGTCGTATTTGGTCGTTGTTGGGAGGGGGGTCGTATTTCTGGCTAGGAGTTACGTGGTTCACTTCATGAGTTTTATGAATTTTCTGTGTTATAGGTACCAGCCCCTGAAAAAAAAGGGGGGGGTCGTAAAAGCTCGACCAAAATCCCCATCGAATGCTGTGCCCTGGGAAGCTAGCAGGTGGAACCTGATAGAGTCCCGCCCCAAATGGGCGCCGCTTCACCGATTCGTCTAGATTCTAAGCATTTACACTTCTTGTCTCGAGGATGGAGAGGGAGTGACAGCGTTCCTTACTGGTATGTGGCTGCGTCTGCACTTTCGCTAAGACATTTCCGTTCCGTGAAAATTATAACCATTCCCTCGTCAAGCATAAGAAGGATGACAATTCTTTCGAGTGGAAATAGCTTAAGAGAAATGCAGCTCACGCCATTCAAATACAGTACGTAGCCACGCCCTCTCCTCCGGGGTAGGGAGGATACGATGCTCTAGAGGCGTGAGAACCAGTGAATGCACCGTTAGAAGTTTTCTGCGGTGCATGCTTAATGAGGAAGGCTCGAAACAATTTTAAAAAATTAATTTCAAATTGAGAAGAAATAGTGACACTCAACCATAGTCCTTATCACTCGGGGCAGTCGGGCACAGCGGGGTATAGCTTTGACGCAACGCCATCCCCCTTTTCCCATCAATCGCTGCGATTTCAGTCGTTCAAAGAGTGTGCTGGCGCTGCGCCAAAACTCACGTGCCGCAAACACGCCCCGATTGACTTCGACCGCAAATTATGAACGCGCCCCACCCTACTTAGAAAAATAAAGAAGTTGTTAAAAATGCTTTGTGAGTACCTGAATGATCTTGGTGTCGGCATTGGCAATGTCATCACTTTTCACTTGTGTCTCCTCGCGCCATCGATCGATCATCAGCTGACGCCAGAACGAATTCACAAATTCGTTCTTTTTTGCTGGTACTGACGGATTACGATAGACAGAACCAAAACGGACATTTGAACGACTTCTGAACGAAATATGGGTACAGCGTACAGCAGATGAAGGTACTTCTGTAAATTACAAGCAGGTGGATAATTTTAGCCGTCCGAGATTTTTATAACTGCAAGAAGACGTTAGACTGGTGGAAATACCCCCGAACAACTTGAAACGTCTCCTCGTACGTAATCGCCTTTATGACTATTCATGTGGTACCGCGGAATGTGTGGTTTGCCCCTCCGGTAGAGCAGGTGATTGCATGAAGTCCGGGGTGATTTATTCAATTCGCTGCCTCGCATGTGACAGTGAATATGTAGGGGAAACGGGCCGTCCTTTGCGAGTTAGAGTTAAAGAACATTTAGGACGGCTTGCGAAGATCACAAGTCCGGACGCCATTGTTCACATTCGGGTTGACAGTGTCGATTGAGATTCTAAAATTCACAGGTAACTGGTCCTCCTAGCAGCTCGCGGAAAATCGTTGGAAACGCATGTGGGATTTCAGCAAAAGACCCGCCGTGACGGAAACAAGAGAGGAATGTGTACTCTAAAATCTAATGTGAAACTCGCCCCTTCGGCCGACTATGTGGTTCTGATCTCAATGATGGTGCGGAAGTAGAGAGGTGTAAGCTCATTGTTAGTTGTACTGCAGCTTGGGTGGTCGATCATTGCGGCTGAGATCAAGGTGAAGCCAGCTCACTTTTATCGATTCTATACCGCTAGAGGGTTTGCTAGGATATCGAAATGGTCTTATGTTCTTGTGGGGCGTTCGAGGGAACAATCTCAATTGTTTTGGACTTCTTCAGGCCCTGACGAAGGCGAGGAAGCCGAAACGTTGGCCAATAAATCATAAATTATAAAAATCTTGGACGGCTCAAACTATCCACCTGCTTGAAGATACAACAATGCCAAGATTAAGAGAAGGTCGATCCTGGTTGATTCTGTAAATTACGTTACTGACCGTTCTCGATGATCGACATCTGGATGATCAGGATAGGTGGACATCATGCCGCCAAGTTGTCCACCAGCTCTGCAGCAGGCCATACAGAAGAAAAACAGTGGTGTAAGTGGAGGTGGAAGTGGTGGACGTAGACTGAAAAAGGCTATTCTCGTAGAGTGGTAGAGTGGACATCCTTTGGCCCTCTGGCTTGGCCCTATTGGTAACCTCTAAACTCATGTCAAGTATAAACGAAACTTATGCTCTTGCATAACTATACAGAATTTCATAGTCTACAAAGGGGCATCGGCACTGATTGGCAGGAACCAGCAAAATGCCCCCACCAAGTCAAATTGCCCCCTTATCTTCGTTATAACGAAACTATACCTGAACTCGGTAACCAACGAATACATCTGATATTTCCATATTTTGTCAGCTTCCTCATCAACGGTTTTGGCAGTTTTCGCAAAGAACGCGAACAGGATTGGCCACAGAATTAGCTGAAATTTGACAGAAGTAATAAAGCAGGTCCTGATAAGGAAGACCAGAGATCGGGCAGTGATTAAACGCACACTTCATGATGGCCATCCGGGCGGGGTCAGACATATTATTTTCCCTAACTGCTGCACCTTGCCATCTAGGTAGGGGAAGGGAACGAAGCGCTATCGAGGCAATCGCAGTGGTTACCCCCGTCTAATCAGAGAGAATCAGATGGCTTCAAAAGGCCTGAACGCCTCCCCCT